CCAAGCCTCCGAGGGGCCGCCTGCTTAGAGGAACAGAGGCACACAGGCGGCTTTTCTTCCTAGGATGCTGGCCAAAGGACCCTAGAAAATGCTCTTTTCAGACTCTGTGGACCCTGAAATATTCTACATCTTGGTCCTTTCACACGGCATGACCCGGGTTCTTGGACAGATAGCATTTTAGCTAAAACCGGCTATTAGGCCTGACCACTTCCTTCCTTCCAGACACTATTTTCAGAAGCAGAGACACAGCGCCTCTGCACCTGTTAAGTTGGGCCATGGATGAAAACCTGTATGAAATGCTCATTTGTCCACACAGCAGGGCCAAAGATGGCTAAGCCCAGGCAGGGGATGGGACCAGTGTCCGGGAGGGCTGGTTGAGGCCAGAGGCCGGGCAGCCTCAAGAGAAAGTATCTCACCACCCTCTTCCTGCATCCCAGGCTCTCCTGTCGGGGTCTGCAGCTGGCCACAGTCCAAAGTCCCAGCCCTGCTTCCTTGACATCGGGAATGGTGAGCTCAGAGGAGGTGACCCTCTAAGCCTAATATGTACCCACCCTTACTCCACGTGTTGAGGTGCAAATGTGATGGAGACAGCCTCCTGGGAGAGTAACACTGACTGTGACACCCTTGGGGAGGGGTCTACTGCAGCCTGGGGACAGAGGGAGAGGTGCTCCCAGACTTCTAGGTTGGTGAGGGTCATGGCCCATAGCTCTGAGCACCCTGGTCCTGGTATGCCATGGGGTGCTGTTTCAGGATGAGGTAGGTGCTGAGCACCCCCAGGTAAAAACCAGTTTCTGCATTCATTCTCTTTCCAAACCCAAACTGGTTCTGAGATGGATGGCTGGCCCCGGTGTGACCCCTGACCTCTGTCTCTCCGTCTCTACGTTGAGCACATGTGCTCTATAGCAAAATATCTCTCCCTAAAAAAAAAAAAAAAAGAAAGAAAGAAAGAAAAAAGATGACTTTAAATACGTAAAGTTACTTCAAACAGTTCATGGAAAACTGGAATTAGAGTACAGGTTTAACTTGGTGCCAAAAATAATAATAAAATCTATGCAATTTTTGCCACCTGCTCACAAACTTTTCCTGGCTTTTATTCTTTCTTCCGTAGAAATTGGGCAGAATAGAGGGGTTCTTATTTTCACCATTTATCTGGTGCTGTTTGTCCAAAGCTAGAATGACAGAGGACTTTTAAAACCTCAGGAATTCAATATTAGAAGAGTGATCTCAAGTCAATTAAATGCCTAATGTTCCATCTCTCTGGTTCGGGGGCAGGAGGCCATTTGGGGCTTGGTGACTTTTTCATTCACATGCAAAATATTACCGGAAACACACATTTGGAAGTTCGGGATCTGAAACCAGATCACTAATCTTCCTCATTCCTAAAATTTCTCTCTCAGTCATAGCCACACACCATGGGACACTTTGCATTTGGAGAAAAGAAAAGAGAAAGGTATTATGCTGGAACTTTGATGTCCAAAAAATTATTTCTTATTCATGTATATGAATTCTTCTCTATAAATACATAAAAATAGACTAGACATTGCCTTTGGTAGTTCGTTCATCAAAACATGGGAAAAAAATGCTACGGCTGACCATAGGTTGATTTGAACTTGCGAGTGGCATTCCGGAAGCCTTGGTGTCAAGGTGTGCCGGATGTGCTGGGTATTCTCAAGCTTACGACTGGGTGGAACGATCTGTCACTGGATTCCCAGTTCACAGCTGTACAAGGCGCCTCCTTATCAAGGGAGTGACCTAGGGGCTGGCTGCAGAGAGTGAAGGCTATTGTTCCAAAGGCAATTACACTGAGTTTGCTACACACACACACACACACACACACACACACACACACACACTTTACGAAAGCTCTCACAGATGCCGACCAAGGGAAGCACGTGTCCGTAATATTTCCTCTAAGTGACAACAAGGTCTGAGGCTTATGGCCATGAGACGCCCCATCTCGTTTGTTATTCTTCCTCCTGGCACGCCTAGGCATTGTGTAACTGGCTTATTTTCTACACCACTGGCAAGGATCACTGCGAAACCACACAGGCATTTTCTCAGAAAGACATTAAACATGGTTCTGTTTTTCATGGCTTTATCAGTGAGGGAGTATTATCTTTTGAGTACTTAAATCTCCTGCATTTCCAGATCCTGGATTGTCTCCTACCTGCTGAGGTCTGTAAGTCTGCTTACCACCACAAGAAAGGCAATGAGGAAGGCATCAGGGACCTGCAGAGCTGCTGGAGGCAGGAGTGAGCTGGGTGCTTACGCCAATGTTCTGGAGAGAAAACTCTACACCCTCGGTAACCAGGCATGTGTTTAGAGCCATGTTGGATGACATTTTTCTTTTAATCTCATTAAAACAGGATGACTTGGGACCAGCAGAGGGTGTAATGGTGACATTGCTGGACTCCTACGTAGTCAACCATGGTTTGAGTCCTGGACCCGGAGGCTTCAATCTCATGCCAGATGTCTGTGCGTGTGTGCCCAAAATCCTAAGAGGAGAATGGAGAAGGGATTCGGTGTGATCATCCCCCCCTTCCCCAGGGAGTGATGATTTCTTGCTTTCTGTCTCTGTCTCTCTGGTGAGTACATGTGCCCTATAGCAAAATATCTCTCCCAAAAAGAAAAAAGAAAAGATGACTTTAAACATGTAAAGTTACTTCAAACAGTTCATGGAAATTAAAGTACAAGTTTAACTTGGTGCCAAAAATAATAATAAAATCTATGCAATTTTTAAAAATAATAAATGCGTAAACATTGTTAAGAAATTTTTTTTGTCACAAGGTGTGTGCATTTGCCAGAAAGACACAGAGAGACATAGAGTGAGAAATTATCCCATGAGGGGATGGCCATGCCACAATACCTTCTCCATTCTGTCAGGATTTGGGGCACATACATACATGTACCTGGTGTGTTTTTCAAGCTGCCAGGCTTGGAACTTAAATTACAAAGCCAGAAATGTAGGATCCAGTGCCTTAAAAGCACACCACTTGCTGGCCCCATAAACAATTTATTTTTTAAAGTTTTTACCATAAGGCATGTGTGATTGCCAAAGAGGGACAGAGAAAGAGAAAATATGAAATTATCCCTGGCAGGAATGGCCACACCGCAATCCATTTTCTTCCATTCTCCTATTGAGATTTTAGGCAAACATGTACATGCACATGCATCCAGCATGATTTTCAAGCCACTGGGCCCAGGACTCAAACTGCAGTTCACCTTGTGGAAGTCCAGAGCCTTAACCACCATGCCACCTGCGGGCCCCAAACAATTTTTAAAGTTTATTTTATGCATAATAGAGACTCCATGACAGAGAGGCCGTGGGAAGAGAAAGGCACCTTTGGCAGGGTCTCATCACACATAATCCCCTTCTCAGCCTTTCAGCTCACCAAGATCTTGGCTGCCTGTTCATGTATCATCTTGTGAGTATTTAAATGGTACATTTCCAAATCCTGGATTTCCTCCTAAACCCGTGGAGACCTAAACCCATAGTTAGCCACCGGGCCTCCAGCATTACAGTTAAGATCCTACTGCCTATGCCACTGAGGCTGAGTCATCCATGAACTTTTTGAAGACCCCTCATGAGTCACAAAGACAGAAACAGAACTATTTTTGACAGGTTAGACAGGTCTTACGAGCACAGTGGTAAGGAGCCTGAGACCACCTTTCCTCGTTCTGGTCCTACCTCCACTAGAAATGAACACCAAACGGTCCCCAAAGACACTTCTCACAGGAGCAGCCAGCAGCCCCTGCATGGCATTTCTACTCCAACACGTCGGCCAGTAAAATGCTTCAGTTCATTTCTGTTCAGGGCTGGATAATTTTATGACGGCTAATTATATCTGCAGCCATACATGCAGATAAGCATAAAAATAGCCCTTTGTCCTTTCATTGAAGGAACCTTTTCAAATATTAACTTAGCGTTCTCCTCCACCACCCCTCAGAGGCAGGAAGTTAAGCTTGCATATTCTGATTTTATGGACATTGTGGAGGCATGAGAGAAGTTCGAGTGGTGGCTTGGTCAAGGTCAGGTCTACACCTTGACATACCAAATGGGTGATGGACACTGTTGTTCCTGAAGTCACATTTCTCCCTCAAAAAGACATACTCTGTGATTTGAGGTCAGGGCCTGTGTCTAAGGCCCTAACTCCTGGAAAGAAGAGTGACTGACTCAGAGTCATTGCAAAATGCCTTACCCAAGCGCCCGGTACATGACATTAACACAAAGCGTTAGCCATACACATAAATCTTAGGATGAGCAATAAAAACAAGAGGGGGTGAATTTGCACCCAGTTGAGAAAAACAATGGAGGGGTAAAAAAAGACATCCTCCCTAGTCATCAGACTTCAACTCTACTTGTGTCCTTGACCTTCACTAGTCATATGACCCGAGCAAAGGAATATTCTATTTTTCCTTCTTCCTTTGTTTTTCTTTTTCTTTTTCAGTTTGCTATCGGGTGTGTGTGCTCACTGGGGGAAGGAGGGAGAGGGGTTGAAAGAGAGAGAGAAAAAGAAAGAGCGAAATCACCCTCAAAGGGGGATGGCCTTGCTACAATCCCTTCTCCATTCTCTTGGGATTTGGGGTACACACAGGCACACACCAAGCATGACTTTCAAAGTCACTGGGTCCAGGACTCAAACCAGTCAGTCAGTCATATCTAGTCACTTTAACCACCAGGCTGCCTGCTGGCCCCCAAGGTATTTTCATTTTAAGACCCATTTTCCTCCATGTGGAATGGAGATAAATCCCTATGTTGTAGCACAACTCTGATGCGCAAAGAACACACTGGGAAGACCTTTCAGCCCAGGGCCCAGCGCCAGGTGAGCACTCCATAGAGGAAGTCATTTGTAGCCTCACTGTAGGAACCTCCAGAGTTTCTTGTGGTTGGTAAAGGAAGAAGTTTTGGTCTCCGGGAAGAAATGATACTTGTCTGTCTTATCCCAAGATTGTGCACAGACGCAGACAAAGCCAGGAGTGATGCCCATTAAAAATTTAACTATATATCATATTCATTTATTATCAATCCACAGGATAATTTGATTGCTACATGAGCTCATAAAAGCTTTTTTCACCTTTACAAAATTAAAAAAAAAAAAGTGCCACAAGGATGTAATAACAACTGCTGATAAACAAGAAAAGGAATCTTAAAATTATAAATTTGCTGTAGAAAAGATAAAAAACAATTATATTTTATTTAGAATTTTACCTTGAATAAAATATTCCCCTGTATAAAAAATAAAAAAGCTTGCTCTGGTTAGAATTAGAGTATTTTCGTCTTCAAATCTGGGAATTTGCATAATATCTCCATGATAGTTTTCCTTTGTACCGCGTGGCATTCAAGCACAGCAGATTAGAAAGGTTTTTTTAAAAGCAATCTTAAAATGGGACATCTGTGGAGAAGTTCATTTTCTTCTCCTCCTCCGGGATGCAGAACACAGCCTTTGAGGGGAGGAAGGGTAGAAAAGGAACTGTCTGGGTGGTGTAGGAGGGGAGGGGAGGCAGGGCAATGGGGAGGGAAGGGGGTGCTGTATGTGCTGTGAGATAGAGCAAGATCATAAGAAGGTCTATCTGTTAAGTGCTTTAAGATAAGGTGCAGAAGCAGACTGCAACTTCGCTAGTACTGCCTATATACATATTCACAAGAATAAAAAATCCCAGCTAGTTCACATTTTCTCGTCCTTCTTGAGGCATCCACTCCATCATGCTGGCCTTGACCGTAGGCAATGCAGCACCTCCATTGCCCATGTGGATGTTGGTCCTTGAACTTGAGGGAGTAGCCCTGGGAAATCCAGCAGGCTCTAGAGATATGCGTCTACCAATGGGCTGGAGTCCTGAGTTAAAGAGAAGCTCCAGTATTGGAGTTGGACACAGCTATCCATGTTCTATTGTCAAGGCTTTTTCCCTTAGATTTGTCTAAAACAGGTGTCAGAGAGAAAAATAAAATATAAACAAATGACAAAACAAAGCCAAGAAATCCCAACAACCACCAGGAAAAGTCAAAGGCTTAACAGCTCTTGACACGGGCCTGAGTGATATCTGATGTTTTCTTAATGACACTAGCCCGTGTCTCCCGGTCTGGCCGACTGCTGCTGGGCGCTGGGGTCACGGAGGGAGACAGAGGGAGTTCTGGAAAAGGGGGCCAGGAGCTGTTGTAAGGCATCAGAGAGCTCTCCTCTTTGATAGTGACCTGAAGATCAGGCTTGTTGGAAGTGACGAAGGTCGCCATGCTGGGAAGCAGGTAGGTACTCCGTGCCCCCAGGTTGCTGAGGTACTGCTTGCCTTCTAGATTCCTTTTCCTCCAGTGTGGTCGTCCCTTCAAAGAAAACAATTATGATACATATCTTTTTTTCCTTCTATTAAATGTTTTTTTTAAAAAATGCACCCCTGTTGTGTGTGCATGTTTTAATTGAATTTAAGACTCACAGAATGAACAAAATTTTAGCAACCCTGCATCTCTTAACTGAAATTTATACCCAGCTATTCACACCCCAAGCAATGGTCTTTCTTCCCTCCCTCTTTATTTTTTAAAAATTTATTTCTCTTTCAAAAATCAATTCCTATTTGCTACCTCTAAGAAATATAGCCAAGACTATTCTATCAAGGCAGGAGGAGAAGGTAGCAACTTGGTTTCTGGCACCCTTATGCTCTGGCTGCCTGGCCTAATCATTTCATAGGTGAATTTGTCATGGCAACTTGGTTTCTCACTGCTTTCCCAGTTAGATCTTCATGTCAACCTGCAGTTTTGGAGGAATCCTCAAAAGTGAGGAACAGAAAGCGAATGTCCCGGGACCAGCAATTAGCATAATGGCTATGTCACTGGACTCCCATGTAGTCGACTGCAGTTCGAGTCCTGGACCTGGTGGCTTAAACTCACACTGGGTGTGTGTGTGTGCATGCCCAAGACCCCGAGAGGAGAATGGAGGAGAAGGGATTGTGAGGAGAACATTCACCTGGGGGGTGATTTCTCATTTTCTGTCTCTCTGTCTCTTTCTGTCTTTCTGGTGAGCACACGCACCATATAGCAAAAACCTCTCCAAAAAAGAAAAAAAAAAAAAAGTGAATGTCCCTTGACTACTTTCCAGTGGGTGCAGCTTAGAGCTCCAGTGTGCCCAGTAAGCAGCTAGCCTCAGTGTTGCTTCGTTCAGAGAAGGAGCTAGAATTGTGATCTTGAAGAAACAGAGCTGTAATGCATGTAAGCATGTATAGCTATTGTCTTTTTGGAATTCTTGCACTGTACTCGACAGTGTCTAGTACATTGAGAAATCACTAACCAAACAACCTTGAGCTGCTCTCACTCCCTATCTCTCACGGACTCAAGGACAGGCCCAGTGCAGATGGTCATCTCCCGTTCCCTGCTACTGTGTAAGCCCAGCCTATTGGAGGGACATGAAAGTGGGTAGCTCAGAATCAAGATTGGACACACAACCAGCCTTTGGGCATGGATCATAGTGGGAGGAAAACCCACATAAGTGTGGAGACACTTTTGCTTAGCTCTTCCTGAAGTTTACTTTTGGTATTACTTTTGGCCACACAGGGCATGCTATTTCTGCTTATGAATTAGGATGTTTGTAAGTGACAAGCATATCAACATTTCCTGGCCCCGACTTCAATTTCCTTTTCTTGCCATCTTAGCCTCTTGTTCTGAGGATAACATTTTACTCCCTTTCCTCGTACTTAATTTTATCATTTGAAATCCCAAAGTATGACAAATTTTAGGTTATTGTGTATTTTACCGCAAGAAAAAAGATTCAAAAGTAAGACTCATGATCTAAAGTAAAAGCATGTGTGTACTAGCAGCAAGGAAACCAAGTGCTTATCGAAAATACTTTCTGCAACGTCTGGGGCAGCAGCCAGCTTACCTCGGCATT